CACTTTTGTAAATACAAGTATTCTAGTTTTTAGGTACCTTAATACTTATGTGGGTTTGGCTTAAGATAATTAGCACTGTGCTGACTGCTCCAGAAGACAAAATTGGGAGTGGCCAGGGATGATGGGAGTGGGATTGGGAGTGGGGAGGGATGAGCTAAGGGCTGTCACCACAGAAGTCACATTCATGTAACACTTTCATTTTCACACTCACACCACGAGCAAGCCTCCCCACCTTTCACTGAGGCTGTGAAGCATGAGGTGAATTGCTAGAGGTGTCACCACTTTATGGGGATGAAAAACACAGAGGAAGAATTGTATGTCCTGTAGTAAAATGAGAACTCTCACTTTGCAAAATGTGGGTAGGTACAAGCATGGATAAAAATCGTGCGTTTTCTCATCTCCTGCTTCTGAGTCTTTACAAAGAAAAGAATGTTGTAAGACTTCTCCTTAAAATAAACAGCATACAGATTGTGATCTCTGACACAAACATCTAACTTTGCATTTGATGAGAACAAAATACTTTGGGGGGAAAAAAATTCTCTTTCAAAAGATGCTCAGGAGTATTTGCTTCTTCATTGTTCCATAGAATCTCAGATTTATCTTCAATTATCACACAACTACCAGCAGCTAGAAGGGTGAATCATTGTGTCTATAAACCCTAAGAAATTTGAGAATACTGCTGCATTCTCTATTCATCAGATATGGGGAGGGAGAGCTATAGCTTTAACCTACAAGCACTTCAGGGAGAACTAAAGCTTTATTTTTGTTTTGTTACAGATGTCATCAGAAAGGCAACTCCACAGGAGAAAGTTCCAGTAATCTTCCTAAGAGAATTAGAAAGTTTATGAAACTGCAATCTTATGCTTCTTTATCAGTGATATAGTGGAGTGTGGGGCTTCAGGGGTTTTTGAATCTTTGCTCATCTGATATTTCTTCCTTGTTTGTCTGGTCTGCAATATGTTCCTCACAACATCTGACTATGTTCCTGTGAAAGAGAAGGTTTTAACCCTTTCTGACAAAAGGGCCACTGAGGCACTGTGGGAATTGCATGTTTTTCATAGCAACTGCCCAGAGGCTTGATGTGTTGAGAGCTAAAAGGACAATCTGGGGCAAAGAGTGGGGTTTGCCTGTTCTGCTTCCTTCTAAAATTCACATGGGGGTATAACCATATCCAGGCAGACACCTGGGACAATAAAAAGCACCTCCAGTGACTATTTCTACAAGAATAGTACTGCTATTAGCAAGGCTATTTCCATCTCCCAGGCTGTGGTTCAAGCCTGTGGTCCATAAGGGACCCAGCTGTGTTCCCAAGATAATCCAGATTTCACTTTGAATGTAGCATGCTAGTTCACTGAGCTGAATTAGGTCCTGCCACATGCTCTGGTATTTTAAGTTCCTTTAAACCTTATTCTTCACTAGCTGACTCATTCCAGCTAAAGGACATAACTTGCATAAATTTATATTTTAAATATCATTGTGCTCTTCATTTGTGTGGGGCAGCAGTTGTCCCTTTAGCACAGGAGATAACTATTTGAGGAATGTGGCAGTCTTTAGCAGTTATTTGTCTTTCTAGTCTTGCAGCAAAATTTCAAGAAACAATAATCACCCATCACCAATCATTTTTCCCTCTGAAATCTCTTCCCTCAGAATGCATCAAATGAAAAAGATCCCTCAACTCTCGTTAGGGTGGTTATTGTCTGTACTTGAGGATGTAAAAAGGAAAATATAAACCCCTATTGCTAGGCTAAGAAAATACTCCTTTCCTGAGCGTATAAATGTTAATTGGATAAAATAAAAGGCAGTGCTAATGGCTGATTTAAACCCAAAAGCCCAGAGACATTTGCATTCAGTACATTCACCCAACTAAGCTTCTCTGCTGAAGCAGGGGAGATGATGCAGTTTGAAGCAGCAAACACAAAGCCAACATTGCTGCCTAAGTCAACTGCAAAGAGGAAGTTCAGCTTGCCTTCCTAGTTTTTTATAGCCCTTTAATTTCACCTAATAATACTGTTTGTTTTTTAATACAGTTTTCCTCTGAATGGTTGTGGTTTCTACAGCAGCAATGGAACAACACACAGGAGGAGCTCTCTCCTTAGAATCAGTCTGACCTGAGTGGAAGGGAGGAAGTTTACTGGGCTGTAATAATAGAGTAATAATCTGCATTATACTGCCTTTTTTTTTTTGTTTTTTTTCACATGGAAATCAAGGTTCATTTGGCAGTCCTGGCATTAAAGAATTCATCAGCTATAGAGTCAGGTATGAACCTTGAGCAGAGGTACAGAGAGTCTGTACCCAGTTTATTTTATTGCTCCTTTTATTGCTTCTCCCATCTCTCCTTTTCTGATTTAACCCCACCCCCCAGAGAGTGTCATGCTTTCAGGGGTCCAGCAAACAGTGTCCAGACAGAACACTGATCTGAGATCTGACTTCTATTTCTGGCATATTACCTTGAAATCTGATGTGTTTTTTTCATTACTGCTCTGTTTGTAACCTCCAAGTGATAAGTGCATGGAATAACCCAGACAAGACATAATCTGTGTAATGGAAAACCAGAGGTTTCCTGTTCAGACAGTGATAAATAAAAGTTTAATTTTCATTGCAGCTGGCATGCAGGCAGCCCAGGTGGGGTTTAGCTGACAGGGCATCTGAGCTATGTTCCTCCACATAATTTGACAATCTGAATTTTAACCAAGAAAAGTGTATTGACAAGAGAATTTGTTAAGAACTTTTCTTTATCTTGTCTGTGCTATTGCCACATCTTCAACTTCATTGAAAATGATAGGCAGTTATAGCAAACTTGAATAATATAATTTACCTTTATTTCCATGTGCTTTGAGCCAGGGCTTCCCAGATTCTCCCAAGGGTCCCACACATCCTGTAAAAGGTTTGCAAAATCCTTGTTTGAGAGGTTGAATTTCATTTAGACATTGCATTGAAGATGAATTTTGTTATATAGCATTCCTTACCTGATTTCTTGTGTTTAAGCAGCCATTTGTGAACAAAGTTTGCAAACCCCTGCTCAAGATTTTCAAAATATCAACTCATTTCTTTTTAAATAAAAAATGTATATTTCTGTGGAAAGGCAACATTTATGGTAAAGTTTGAACAAAGCACCCCCAGGTCTCTGATTTACAACAGAATATAAAAAACACATATTCTGGTCTCCATTTCAATAAAGGGAGTTCCTTCCTGTTTAGCAGTCAGCATCACCACAACAGTGCTCTTTATGATTACAAAGATAAAAACCTCTGCCCAATGGCATTAGTGAGATATAAAGGCTAACAGATCCTGGGGTAAGGTTTTAAAGCAAAGAAGGAGTGGTGTCTGTGAATATATATGAGAAAAACTACATAGAATTGATATTGGAGTGCAGTCCAGTTGTGTGCATGCCCTGTGAATTAATATGGTAGTTTTCAAGACATTTTATATTGCCCAAACTACTCACCTTTTAATCAAAACTCACAACATTATTTGTAGCATATTGTACTACAGAAAGCAAAATAAAACACCACATGGGCTTAAATTTGTAGCAGGGGAAAGAGTCTCAAGGAATAGACAGCAACAAGAAAAGCATATCCAAATCAGAAAATGTAGTTTTTCCATTATAATTTCACCTGAAATTTGTTTTAATCCCTTTATAATCCTCAAGTGATGAAGTACATGTTGAAAGCTTAAATCTAGAAGTATTATCACTACAAAAATATTTTTGGGAATAATTCCATCTTGGAGGAAGTGAACCATAACAGGGCCAATAAATTTAAAAAATTGTGTAAGCGTGGTGGAAAATATTAAAATGTAAAGCTGTCATCAGTGTGTGCCTGGGCACAAAGTGTACCTTCCATCACAGGTATTCCTTTCAAAGAAACTGCTGGCTTGGCCAAATGAAATAACATCAAATGGCACACTGATAAAACAAAAATCCCCCAACTGGTCTAGGAACTACCTATATGTTTAGAAAGAATGATTAGAAAGAGCTACTTTTGCTCTTTCCCTGACACTCCTCCCAAGATTCCCAGCTTCTCCTGCCAAATTCTCAGTCCTCTTGCTCCTTTCTCTGGTTACCACGAAGGAATTGCATCTTGCAGCATGAAAGCAGCCCAGTGTGTTCCCCCTCACAGCACCTGCCAGGAGGAGTGCTTGGACTTTGCAGGAGAGAAAATGAATTTCTTTGATGCATCTCAGCATCCCTGAGTACTGCAGCCCAGCAGGACGGGCTGGGGAAGCCCTGCAGATCCTGCACAGAGCTCTGGTTCCCAGGATGGAGAGCAACAGCTGAATTTCCACACAAGCCCAGCAGCAGCGATGGTGCCCGTGCTGTGTGGAGGTGTTCTATTGTCTGAACTCAAAATGTCCCTCAGAAATTTTTGGAGGTTCTGGGTCCAGGTCAGAAGCATTTGAGACCCTGGCAGGCAGCTGGAAACAGCTGTGATTTTGGGTTTGAAACATGGAATGATTTACCAGCTTTGCAGGAAGAACAAGAAGTCACAAAAATTTAGATATTATAGTAGAAGTAGTCACAAAGTAAAGGGAAGAATTTTTTAGTGCTGTACAGGGGGGTTTTAAGTCCTGTACAGGGGGGTTTTAGTTTTGTACATGGGGGGTCAGAGGTTTTAAGATGGAGGGATTTGGGCCGGTCCTGTCCTCCCTCTTTCTTCTTCCTTACATCCATGTTCCTGGTGATGTTGGCACTCACAGATTGGGTTAGAGTAGAAAAGCACCATTTAATATAGGTAATAGGCAATGGGGAAAAACTGTAACATGTAACACGTAATGTACCATATAAAAGACAGCAGCAGCCCTGGGCAGAGGGGGAGAGAAGAAGCAGTCGGGAGTCAGAGAGGATGTCAGGGTGTGTGTGTGCCTCTGCCTGAGCTGTGAGCAAACCACAGCAGCCCCAGAAGAAAATCTTTTAGATAACTTGCAATAAACTGCCTTGAGACTAAACAACAGAGACTGCTAAGCCTTTCTTTGGAAGCTCGGGTTGGAGGAGAGGTTTTTCCACCATACAGAGCCACCTCCGACCTAGAGGTGATCTCCAGCATTCTATTATCCTTGGAATTGTCAAGGGGACTCCAGGTGCTTTTATATCATTTGTGAATGCTGAGCTTGAACAACCTGGATGTAATCACTGAGAGCTTCTTCTCTGAGAGATTAAATATGCAATATTTTATAACCCAGTTTAAACATGTCCCATGCAAAATTCAGGATTGGATTTCAATATGTAATTTTCTTTTAATTTTTAAAGAAGTTCTCATAATGACTTTTATTTTATTATCTGTATCTATGGAATGATGAACAAATCAAAATACTAAAATCTACAAATAATTTCGTATTTAATCATTAATCTAGTCTTGTGAAATGAAATTTTAACAAATCATAAATTTATATATAATCATAAACTATATCCGTCATTATTTCATTAGATTGCTGTTGTCAAATAACTGAAATCCATTATCCTTACATAAACTTTTAGTTTCCAAGGCAATTTAGTCTCTAAGCTCTGAAGAGCTGCCAGTTAAATAAGTACGGTTTTCTTTTAAGCACAAGGTAGAGAATACTAAAATTCAACACGAAAGACAAAAAGAGAATTATAGAACAGTAACAACATGAAATTAAATCAAAGATTTTTTACACATAAACACAAATTCTGGTCAGAAAAAACTTTTTAAAAAGTAATGTTTGGAAGAACTCTTAAATATTATGAGTAAACTCCACTGATTAGGCGACTCACATCTATTGCCTTTTATCATTCATGAACGGACTTCATTAAATGAATCTCCAGACATTTTATTTCACTTTTTGCAAGTCTACTCACAAGCAGGTTTAGAAATAATGCAAAGAGAAGCCTACATGAAAATAAAATTAAAATAGCAAAAGATTTTGGAGGAAGGAAAATGAACAACTCTCATTTGTTCTTAAGGAATCCTATCCCATTGATCTAGCTTTTTGAGCTTGGCAAAAAGATTGAAAATAGATGGATTATAGAACTACAAATGGAGGTTTCGTTTTGAGCTGCATTCATTTTCAATTTGTGGAATAGGTTGTGAATAAAACAAAAAAACCAAACAACTGTCTTCCCCAAAAAACTCCAAACAAAACAACACAGGAAAAAGGGGAGTATCTTTCCAGCAGATGAAAAGGTTCCTCTTTCCCTTTCCTCTTTTCAATGCATGGGAACTATCATCTGCTTACTGTTACTCTTTTCCTGCATTTTTTTAAATTTTAAATTTTTAAAAATTTCTATTCCCTCCTCAACCTTCATTTCTGTCCCTCTTTCCTCCTCTCTAACCTCTTTTATTTCTTTGAATCTTATTATGTAGTATGACAAAAACTGTGAAACAATTTTTGTGTGTGTCTACCTAAACTCGGCTATGGAAGTGTCTCAGAAAGCTGCATCTTACTGGGGTTCTTCCCTCAAAGGGTAGAGATGGACTATCCCATGGTTCAATAGATCTTAAGAAGGCGAAAGTGTGCTTAAAATAAATTAGAGATGTAGCTAATCTGGAAGCTTTGGTCATGAAAATTTGGCTCTTCATTACCAAAGCTCCTTGATGTCACCGTTTCTCAGCAATGACTTTGCCAACCATCTGGATGGTTGTTATTGCTTTTTAATATTTCCTTTTCCTCCAAATTCTGTGTGGCAATATCTTAGGACACCATGAAAACCAATTATCACAATGGATAAACATTGTACAGTCAATCTAGGAGCTATAGAAAAGAGTGCCAAATACTTCTGGGTACTGTCTCATTTCCTTTAGACCAAACTTGAGCAACAGAAGACTCTAGTTTGGTCATAGTGCACCAACAGTACATGAGGTTCTGGCATGTGAATGACAACTCATGAAAAAATTAGATTTCTTTTTCAGCTGCTAAACTGCACAGATGGGGTGCGAGAGAAAGAAGAATATTTACTGCTTTTGTTTAAAAAGCCCTCTTCCATTGGACTAGGGAAGGAGGACAGGACTGTGTTGTTAATGACATTATCACATAACGTTATTTTTACCAGATAAACCCTCCTTGCCATCCTGTACTACTTTTATGGACATTCTTCCAACTCTTCTATTAATAATATCCATGAACTGTTTATTGCCTCTTGACACAACTTAGGGTTTTGCTTTCACAACAGATTTTAAAAAATACTTTGTGCAATAATCTAAAGTGAGGAAATATCATGTGGTTCTGCACCATACAATATTCCTGTATTCTCTCATCCCTTCGTGCAGTCCAGTGCTGTCTTTGACCACAGCTGGCTGTTAAATTGTTGCCCCAGCTGCTTGAAGTTGAAGGGGTTGATGGTTTAGGTTTTTTTGAAAGGGGAAAAAGGCATGTGTTACTTTGGCTCAGACTGCTGGCCTAGAGCTGTGCCTCTCACTTTTTCTGTTTATCCCATCCACAATTCAGACAGCTTCAACTCAAAAAAGATCCAGCATAAAAGAACTGAAGTCAGGAGGTGTCCTTGTTGTGCAGACACTGATGTGAGCACTGCTAAGCAAATATCTGTGGTCCTGATGCTGCACATTACCTGCTCCCCTTAAAGGAAGTCATTGCAAGCAAGATTCCAGCAGGCTGAGTCTTGACATGCTGTATCCATCCCCTCTTGTGTCACAGGCCTCAGACTAAGAGTTATTCATGTGGCAAACATCTGGATTTACATAGGAGCCAGCAGAGCTAATCTGTTCTGGCACAGAGGAAGGACATGTGAAGAGTAGAGCCAACAACTCTAAATCAGAACCTGGTAAGGGGCAGGCCAGCACCATGACCCTGTCCATCCAGCTGGAAAAGTAGAATTTAGGAGCAGGTTTAGAGATTACAAAGAATTACAAAGATTTTAGGAGAAGGATTATTTTGTCTGCCCAATGTCACATGGACAGTATCTAGCACCTTCACAGAAGCTTATTTCCTAAAGCCATAATGATGTGTGTTGTGTTCCTAAGACTCATTTATCAGGAAGGAAATGAAATGAATCAATATAAACTCCAAAACAAAAGAGCAACATCTGACAGGGCTGACAGGAAAGCAAACAAGAAGCTTAGAACACTGCTAATGCCCATTATTAACACTTACACTAGGGCTAGCTCTAGCAGGAATTGTCTGCCACCATCCAGAAGCAGAAATAAAAAATTATACTTAAGCCTGTGGGAAACCATAGTTATAACTTTTGATCTAGGACTAAAAGGGTGTAAAATTGTAAGAGATAACCTAAGAGAACTCAGATTCTGCCAGGAATGCACATGGAATTGATAAGAAATAGCTTTTCCACAAGGTGTTCAGTAAGGAAGAGGGACATGGCAGCACCCCTTTCCCCATGATACCAAGCTTAGGAGATGAAAGATATCTGCAAACATGCCTCAAAACCTTGCTTCTTTCAGGATACAAAACTGCTTCCTGAGTATTTTATTGGCTTTTAGATTCACTGGAGGAACCAGAGATTGGCAAAGGATGTTGTACAAAAGTACCATCAAGCCATTTGAAAGCTAAAATCTTATGAAGGCAACTGAGCAAGCTGAAGGCATGGAATCAAGTCCATTTGATTTTGTGGGTCCAATATTTATATGTACCTGTGAGATGGAATCACGATGCTACCTCAGTGGAGGACACATTTAAGTGCAGTGATCATCAATCAGCCTTCTCACTCTCTTCCAAACAACACTTCCTCTGATATTTTCAGCATCAGAAACAGTGATTTTTCAATTTTTTTTTTTTTTCCTGGGAAAAATATTTCAGTCACTCAGCAAATAGTGGTTTCTCCATGGATTACACAGATCTGAGTATGGCATCTTTGGCTCAGAAGAGATCAGGCTCCTTCTTTTAGATGTGAAAGGCAAAACAGCTAGAAAACAAACATTAGAGATATGATGAAAACAGGAGTGAGAATGCAAACGTGTCTTTCCCCATACTAGATGTTGATTAGATGGAGAGTGCCTGCTGAGATTGAACAAATAACAGCCCTTCCTGCCTTTTATTTTTTGAAGCTAGAAAAAGTTGATTGCTAAAAAATAACATGTCATGAAATATTTTCCAGTTTCAGTAGTACCTTCATTTTACTTCAGCCCTGAAAATATTCATATAAAATGCTGAAAGGTCTAATGAGACAGTGGTACTTCAACGTTTCTCCCGCTGATGTCACAGAGTGGTTTATTGATTCTATTTAACTTCTAATTGGCTCACATTATTAAATTACCATCATTCAGGCTAGATATTAGTTTAAATGATCAATCAACACAAAATAAGGTCAAGATTATTAGTGACAAACTGGATAAGCAGATAAATAGATCAATAGAAAGAAATAAAGATAGATCAATTAGAAGTTTAGACTAAATGGAAAAAGTAGGTCGACCTTTTTTTCTCGTTTTTAATTACATACCCACTGGCTTTTTCTGTGGGGACTTGAAATATTGAAGTCTTATTCTTCATTGCATAATTAGAATTCTAAGATCTGACTGATCATGTCAAATTTTGAAGCAGAACAAATAGTGAAAACTAGGCACACTGAGATGTTGAACCATCAAATTACATTAGCTAAGTCATGGCTTAATAGAATCCTCCACTAATTCCACCAAGTTAAGATATGGAGAACAGTGAAATACTTAAAAAAAGCGCTCCACATTAATTAAACAAACTTACTATAAATCTGTCTAGACTGGTGCATAACCTTAAGTTTGAAAGGTTAGATTAGGACAATTATAAACTGAATGCATTTTCTCCCTAATATATCCCAATCATTACTTATTGAAAGTAATTTGTGCTCCTAATTTAACTAATATCCTCCAAACAAGGATTTCTTTAATTGACTTTGTTTTGTCACACCACCAATTCAGGAGCATGGTATGATATCTAGTGAGCTTTTCCTTTTTACAAAGTGTGTCTGATCTTTTCTCAGCCACATCCAGAAAAACATATTTTGCCCTCATTAGCCAATAGTAGGCTGAATCCTTCTTAATGATCACTAGGGAATGCTCAGATTTCTGTACAAACTAGGACAAGCTGTTTCACGTTTTTTTTTTTTTTGCCATGGCTTTCCCATTTGAAAATGACACTTGATTTTTGCCCTCTTTTCTTTAAAGGGATTGACATGTGTAAAATGATCTTTAATGGTAAAAGGAACAATAATCAAAATATCGCCTCAGGACTGGACATTAAGAACCTGCTAATAATGATAAAAGGTATATGCCAGTTGTCTGTTTTAGGAAGGATCTGATTGTACTGCTAACTACTCAGATAAAAATCTTTGTTGTGAATTACGACTTTGTTATTTCTTGCAGGTTTTCCCAAAGGTCCCTCCAGGGAAGAGCTGGGTACAGAGACACTTTTCTGTCTCTTTGTGTGCCTCCAAGGGCTCCCACAGCTGCAGCCTAAAGCCTGGCAAAATCCTTCTAGATTCAAACTTCTCCTTCCTTACCAATCCTGATTCCTGCCCACTGTGCCAGAATTTGTAACACTGGAAGAAGATGATCAGCAGAAAATGTTGTGTTCACTGGTGATCTCAGCCTGCAGGTGCCAGGTGGATAAAGAAGTCCAGTCCTTGGCTGTGAAAAGCCACACAGGTGGGCACAGGCTGGGAACAGCCCTGCTGAGAAGGACTTGCAATAGGACAAGGGGTAATAGTTTTAAATAAAAAAGGGGTGGTTTAGATTATTGAACAAAGAAGAAACTGCAGTCACTCATGAAAAGTTGCACAACTGTTTCATGTTTCCAGAAAGTTCAAAAAAGTGAATGAAAAAAAAACAACAAATGGGAAAAAAGTAAGAATTTCAAATAATTCTTCCTGACAGCTAGTAAAGACACATGCTTCCTAATGTTTTTGCAGTATATTTTCAAGTCCCATTTGCTCACCTTTCTGACCAAAGTAGCTAATTTTTTCCCTTGTTGTTTCTTCCTTGGTCTTGTTCAAAAACAAGCAAACAATAAACAATCTGCAAGGCACTCTGGAGAATATTTCAACCCTGCTGTGCTAAAAAAAAAGATGAAATATTGCATACAATGACTTCAAAACTTTGCTCGAATTGTCATAAATCACACTTGTCACATTCATTTACATTAGCTGCTGGATACCGGACTGACTTGACAATATACCTAGGCAAATTACAAACCAAATAAGAAGATAAGAAAATAAGTTTTCTTCGTTGAACTGCTATTACATACTACAGAGGTTACCTAAAAAAGTGACAAAGAAGTGATGGTACATATTTTTCTTACTTTTGAGAAAAAACCTGTCAGGAGAAGAAAATAAAAGAAAATATTTTAAAAAGAGATTTGCATCACAAGTGAAAATATTAGGCTGAGAAAATCGGAACAGAACAGATGACCTCATCTTGTTTTAAAGAGTTACATTTTCAGGAGCAGACATAGCTGTTCAAATAGGTTGCTCACAGACATTTAGTCAGTGATTTGAGATTTGGCAGAAAAATAAATGCAAATTAACCACACTCAGAGATATTCAGTGGTTTGTCTCAGGGTGTCCATCAGTAATGAACTCCCCTCCATGCATCTCTCTTGTGTTTTACTATGCCTGCCCAATCCTAGTCAATGCTATTATTATCAAAAACAACACACTAGAATTGTAAGTTCACAGCATAGAGTTATATTAAAAATAAAAAAAAAAAGAAAAAAGAAGATTTAAACAGACATATGAGAAATATGTTCTGGGAAACCACTGACAGCTTGGTCTATTGATGTTTAGAAAGAGAAAAAAATGAGAATTGGAAAAAAAAAAGGAACTCAATTTATCACATAAGGAAAATGTCTTGCTGCAATAAAGTTATATCTATCATCTTTTAGGTGGCTTCTTGCATGTAAATACAGGAGTTGTGCACATGATGATCTTCATCATTGTACTGAGGATACTGACAGATTACAGAACTGACAAGGTCTTTCTAGGACTTAGACATGTTTAAAATATTTCTCCTGTAGCTGCAAATAAATCAGAAGAAAATTTTCAGTGGAAGGCAGGTGTGTCCTTCCTGATCCCCTTTTGTTGATGTTTTATTGATGCTGCTCCCTGCATCCCAGTGATTTGTACTCCACACACCAGCTTGATGGAAACACGAGACAATTCCAGATATTGGCTGAAACAAATGCTTGTTCTGTGGATATTTTCAGTGGCAGGCAGTGATCTGCCATGTAGCTTCAAGGAAGGGTATATCATCTTCAAGAAAAAAGAACTTAAGGTAGAATAACACAAAATTAATGGCCAATTATGTGTTCAAGACTTGTGGAAGTTTTTATTTATTTAATTGGCAATACGGTCTTAACTTTTTTGCACACATTCCCTCTAGAAATATTAAATGACTGCAAATGTTCACAAATCACAAAAAAGGTACAGGAGGCATTAACATCATGTCTACACCCAGCATTAAGAATGGAAATAATTTTTAAGGAAGGATTAATACCCAGAGAAGAATGATGGACAAATAAAACTTTTACCAGCCTGAAAACAAATATTTTATAAAGATGGAACTGTTCTTTTCCTTCATCTAATTTATCAGTAATCGATGGAGAGACAAAATAATTGTGACACATGAAGAAATTTGGAAAGAAAATACAATGTTCTAATTCCACTCCATGGAATGAAGTCACTTTATCTGGCTGGAGATGGAAGGAGAGCTGCCCTTAAGCAATAAGTCTGAAGAAGCTCACATGCATAATTTTCATCAGTACTGCCATATGTTTTACATTGTTTTCAGCTGTTAAAATATATGGCTTTATCTCAGTTACTCCTCCAGAAATCATTACAGAATAGAAAAACATGCACAGGTCCTTATTACCCAAGTATAGAGTTTATAATGTCCTTCTAAAAAAAAACAAAAACAAAAAAAAAAAAAACCAAAAATGCAAAAATACACCAAATTAGAAAAAAAAAACCCAGAAACACCAAACAGAAAAAAAACAGAAACACCAAACAGAAAAAAACCAGAAATACCACACAGAAAAAAAACCCAACAGCTGAATTTTGGCTGTAAAACAAAATGTTGTAAAAGACACCAGCCACTTACACTGGAAATTTGTAAAGAAATGTATAAGGAAGTCTATCTGTTTATTTACACATTGAAAAATTCTTTTAATTTACACATTGGAAAAGCCCTAAGTTGACAGATTGGATTCCTTTTCACTTTCAAGACCTTGAGCTAATCCTTTCTTGAGAAGTAAAAGAGGAATTAGCATCAAAGCAACTTTCTGCAGTAAGTAGGGAGAGGGTTTTTTTTGACAGATTTAGATTTATTATAATATTCCAGAATGCAGAGCTCTGTACTAAGACAGAGTTTTCTAACTTGGCAAATTTCAGGTGAACCAGATTTGCAGGCCTACTGATTATTTATTATTTTTTTTACTTTATTATACTACATTTTGTACTGACAGGGCATGGAACACTAAGGATATTTTGTATAGAGTACCATGTATGGAGAACATGTGCAGTACTAGCAATCCTGTAATAATAGCAAAATCACAGAAAATAGATCTTTCTCTCTGAATTTATGCTCCAGAGGCTCTTTATAAATATGGAATCTCAGACCACTACAAGGAGTGGAGTGAGGATCAATAAAAGGTGTGCTATTTAAATTGATTTACAGGATAATGTGCAAAAGAAATGACCATGTAATCCAATCAGGAATATTGTAAGGACAGAATATGGCAAAAAATTAGAGAACTTAGATTCTAGCTTCAGAAAGAAAGGTCAACCACTTCCCTATAGAAGGGACTAGAAAGGATTTCCTTTAGAAAGGAAAACATCCAGGTACCGTGTGACCTCTTTTTATTGGTGATCACCACAGAGAGAAAAGCTAAAGCAAAACTGAATGGCTTGACCAAAGAAATCCCCCTCTGACAGGCTAAGCCAAAAGCAACCTCAGCCCAATTCTGAACAGAGTTTGAAGTGCAGTGCAATAAAGGATGTCTACGTCTGCCTATGAGGACAAGAAGGAGAAAAAAACCATTTATGGTACATGCTGCAGAAATGAGAGTTTGGATGCAGAGATTGCATTGTGAATGTCCAAGCAGGACAAAAATCCAGCTGGACCCCTGCTTAGTTTTCAGCTGGTACCAACAATTTTCACATTCTCAAGATTAACAGTGGTTCACCTAAAGTAACTTTCTGTGAAATCGTACAATGGGATTTTTCTCTTTATTTATATTTTTTAATTTTACTTTCTTTTCTGACCTATTTTTTGCATCTTTCACAACTTGCAGTGACACTAATTAATCTTGTCATCAATTCTTATTCATGGCACATCTTCACTGACAACTTACCCAAAGTTAATTTTTAACATAATATTCATGCGTTCATAATTCAAAAGTTCCATATTCCAACACAGTTTTAAGGCAGGTATAAGCAGTAAGAAGATTAGTGCTGAATATTCAGATGTGGGTAAAAGGAGGACATCACTCTCTATGAACAGACTCATCTCTAATCATTTACAGAACAAGTGTTAAGATTTTTTTTTTTTTGTGTGTGCGCTTTTTTGGTTTTATGTATAACTCTCTGAAGTCCATGAAAAACACATTGGCTCCAACAAACTTTAAATGCATGTAAAAGCCAGAACGTGGCACCTCAGATCACAAATGTCCCTGGCAGCCCCTCTGAGCCCAATGACATCCATCACAGGTTTCAAATGGCACAAGCTGCAGTTGTCTAGAGCCTGTTGGAGGGGTTAAAAAGAATCATATTTCTAAAACCCACTCTTCTGCAGTGAGAAAATTACAGAAATTTACCTTTATCTCCTCCATTGGGAATTCACTTCTAGCTGGAAGTGCAGTCAGCATGTTTACAGGGGCAATTTTACAGGGAAATATGAACTTCACCTGCTAGAGTGGATTCAGTCAGGCAGGGAGCAGAGCTGCTCTAAGGGACTCAAGAACATCCCCTGGTAATGTGTGGAGTCCCTGGGTCAGTCTCAAGACACCATTCAGAAGCTGCACAATATTTAGTTCAAAAGTCATTGTAAAAAAGAGAAGGAAAGAGGCTGGACTAAACTTGTGTTTAGTACAGAGTATTAGCTTTTGGGTAAAAATGTTGTCATGGCTCTACTTCTGTACAGAGCATTAGGCATTCAGGCATTGCTGCTCTCAGTTAAAGTGAATTACCACTTTAAAAATAAACCATGGCACACAGCAATGAGACACAGATTATGAGATATAAGTGGCTTAATTTTGATCTTGTCTGGTTTCAGAATTATGAACAAGTATCCTGGTTAGCTGTAAAAGTATTTTTTTCCCCAAAATGGAACAGACTTTTATATCTGTTCAATGCAACACAAACCTGGGTGCCCCAAATAATTTATCTTTGTCCTGGCTTCAAACTCTCCAGAGCTTTCAGCAAAAAAAAGAGATAAACTACTAAAAAGAAACCCATAAAGAAATTTGTGATAGCATCAAATACAGCAGCAGCATTTATATTTGAAACTGATCTGATAAGAGGAAAAAAGGGAAACACCTGTAGCAGCTGAATTAAAGCTTTGAGGTGTTAAGAAAATTAGAATAGAAAGGAGATGGCACTATGGATCTGAACTCAAAGCTGGGAGAAAATATCTAATCTGCAACACAGTCTGGCTTAGTTTTCCGATAACCCAGGACAGGACTCTTCAGCAATAAGTGCAGACAGAAGTCAGGTAGGAATTGGAAATATCAGTGAGAACCTCACAGAGGAAAGCTCCAGCTGAGTTCATGGCTCTGTGGATCAGGGAAGAGTCAGCAAAGGTGGTGGTACATTATCCTTTGATATCCCAGGAAAAATTATTTTCTGCATTAGATATTGGAGATATTGTATTGAAAACAACAAAATTCTTTAGCCACATATTTAAAATCATCTTGCATGGTTGGATCTTTCTGACAGTTTCAAATATATTTTGTTTTCATATAAAACTTCATTTCATGACAAGAAAATTCTCCCCTATACCCTTCTGTTCTCCCAAAATTATGGAAACAAATATAAATTGAAATAAGTGATTTTAATTCTGCAAGATTTTTCATTCCCTCCATACACAATAACAAGTTTTAATTCATATTCAGTGCCCCTGATGTGATAAAAAAAACCCAAAACAAACCAAAAGATTTCATGTCTGTCATATCTTCTGGAATCTTTCTTTGTAAGAGTATTCATTATTGCTCAAGTCAGTGTAAGGAATGGATAATGCGTGTTTTGTTCTTTTGACAACTATTAATTTCATGGAAAGCATGGATGTGTAGGCCTGTGTAGACACATGATTTAAGGAAGCAGTTTTTAAATCAAATCTCCTTTTAAAAAGCGTGATTGACATGGCAGTGTGCCATGTGACTGTTTTGCAAATTATAACTTGTATCTAACGGGAAGAAAAAAGTAGAAATAGTTTGTGTTTTCTTTGAGGCATGCCACACTGGGCAAGAGTTTCCTCCTTTGAAGAGATTTGCTGCAAATACCAGGGGTAGGACAAATACGTATTTGGAAAAATTGAAAGTAACATATCACTTGTAAGATCCGGAGTGTTTTCTGCTCTCCCTTGAAGAGTGGCTGCACTTGATCCTCACTCAGCTTCCAGTGAATGTAGCAGCACTAGCTCGAGTTCTCTGGGGCAGGATCTGGAGAGTTCTGGAGTAAAATACCAAAGATTACCAGCGACATCCATGGGACCACCAAGCTTCTCTGTCTGACAACTAAAACTCTCTCTGGTTGCAGAATGGGTGGAAGAGTTTCCTCAAAATGTGGCTTTGCCATTAGTTTTCCGAAGTTATTTTCTTCTTACTTGATATCTATAATAACCCTACAATATATTTTTCAGATTTAAGCCCCTGAAGGCAAAAAAGCAAAACATCAAATAAAGAGGTTTACAAAGGAGTGAGGCATCCCAGATTTCAGCTTGGCCAGAAGAATCGTAACAGGAACGGTTTTATTCCTCTAGTAATGGTATCATACTCTTCCAGTAGAGCAGTGGATTTTTCAGACCACTAAACCCATCCCATATTCAGAAGAGACTGCCCCATACCTGTCTCCCTCCTTTCAGGGAATTTTAGAGAGTTTTAAGGTCCTTTACACTTGTCAAACTCAGAAATTTCTCTGATATTTACATTATTTAGCATGTATCTGTGACAAGGGATCGTGGAGAAAGAGATTCTGTACATTTTGACTTGTCCACTAGATTTAGGAAAGGGATTTTTCCACATCACAACCACTCCCAAGACAAGATTGAAAATC